TCAAGTGCCAAAAAATGCCACTGTTGGCGACTGCTGCTTCTAAAAGCTCTGTAGGTGGTTAGTGCAGGGACTGCCAGTGCAGCAGCATGGATACTTTCCTGTAAAGTAAGTGCTCTCAAGTGTTTGGCTTTAAACTTTCCATTTGGCTTGAGCTGCTAGAGGTGCAGCAGTTTCTGGATTGGCTCCCATTTTTGGGGGAAAGCCTGGTGAATTTCTGCCCTTAGGACAGGTGCTGACCTGCTCTGCAGAATCAGCACTTCCGGATTGCTGTAATGGTCCTTCTGGCCCTCTGAAATCGTGTATACAGCTTATTTTAAAGAATTCAAAATTCAGAAAGTCCCAGTCTGGGGTTAGAGTCGCCTCCCATTCTCAGTGGTCTTGGCAAGCCTGGCCCAGCTTGCTTCTGGGTCAGTCTCTTCCCTCTTGGTAGCTCTCCTGCAGCTCTCTTCCACCTCTACAGATCACTTTATGCTGCCTGGAAGAGGGACTTCCCCACGGGCTTTCTGTGCTGATCTACCTGCCTTGCCTTGTCAGGTATGGCCTGGTTATGAGGGAGGTTCAGTGCAGCTGCTATATATATATTTGTCTGTCCCAATTCCTTAACTTCCTCTTCAGTTTTTTATCACATATGAGCAGTTGAAGCGACTTCCGTTCTGAGAGCTGGCTGCATTCCGTGGGTGTCATCTTCAAGACTTGCAGCAGTATTTTGCTGCAGCCTTCCTCTTCATTTCACCATCCCCGTCTTTTGATGTGTTGGTACATGTGGGTCTGGACTCTCCCCCTCCCCCAAATGCATGGTCCCTGGAGCATGTTCTGGCTGAAGTATAACTGAGAGGCTGATTGCAGGTACTGCATGTTGTTTTTTTTCACACAGAAGCAAGTATTAACTGTGTACAAGTGTCTGGGCCTGAAGCAATATCTTCTGTGAAGATCTGTGCATTCCAGTGGCCTTTTGATGCAGCTGTGGTTAGTTGTTTGGCTCATGTGCATTGTTCTGCCGTGCCTGTGGGGTGAGGCTGGAGGCTGGAAAAGGGGTGCTGTCATGTTTTCTTGCGGATCTGTAACCTCATTAAATTATTTATTGACTGGATGGTATGAGTTTGTGTTTGTGCAGACTTACAGTAGGTATATTTTCCAGAGCAGATGGTGTGTCTGCCTTTGGGGAGAACATGAAGTATTTTTTCTGCACAATGTGTATATTTTTTTTCCCCCAAATATATATTTTTTTCTTATCAATTTTTACGTTTTGTTGTAATATAAAAGATTCTAAAACACAGTTTGTTACTGTCAGGAAATTGTTACCTTAGTTTTGCAAAACCTCAGTCTCTCATAACCTTATTGTTTATATTATTTTTAAAGCAAAGTAAATTGATTTAAAACTGAACTCAGATGCCCCACTTTAAGATGATGGTCTAACATTTCCAGTTGAAGCAGAACATCAGGTTATTTTCATCATTCTCTTCTGTGTTGTTTTGTTTTGTTTTGTTTTTTAATGCATATGTCTGTGAAAGCAAACAGCTTAGGTTTTCCTATTTCCTTCCTCCTTTATGGGGCAGCTTTAGTTTGGATGAAGGTCTCTTGTGACATACAGCAATGCTTCCTGTTCACGAGTGCTGTAAACCACGATTTTCTGTGCAAATTGCATAAGGGATGTTCAGCTGAACTGAGGGAATTGTTTGCTGTGGTTTTGCAAAGACCTAGGTGTACTGTACTAGCTGAATGCATAAGGAATTTGACTCCAGTAAACTCCTGAACTTAAATCATGCCATGAACAGAGTAGCAGCCTGTAGGTATTTCTACAGGGCCACAGCTCCTTCTCGTAGGGCTGGGAGGATTGTTTTCAGAGTTAAACCACAAGATACCAGAGACTGGGAACAGTGGATTGAAAGAAATGGACAACATGCATATGCTTCACCTTGCTTTACTCCTCAAGAGAATTTCTAAACATTACAAGTAAATAAATAGTTACGTGATGGATGAATATGAGTCCATTTGAGAGATGTAATTTAACTTCAGTTCCATATATTCTTTCGGTTTTCTTTGGTGTTCCTGTATCTTCAGTTCTGGAGCAGTTTCTTCTGTGCAACTCCATGCTATATTGCTATTGTTAATTTTTGGACTGCTCATGTGACAGTTCTTTGCTATCGGCTGTTGCTAACCTGTCTTTGCTCTTCAGGCTGCCACAAGGAGCTCCTCAGAAATGCATAAAGAATGTATCCATGGCCACTTTGTTGTTTGTATTTTTCAATGCGAGGTGCTGATGAGAGGCTTTTCTTTCCCCCATCTTTCCTTTGGATCAGCTTCTCCACATGGCTTTGGAGATGCTCCTTCCACTTGCTTGAGTGGTCTTCAGCCCCTTGAGGTATCCCTTAGCTGAGCTTTCACAGAATGTTAGGGATTGGAAGGGACCTTGAAAGATCATCTAGTCCAATCCCCCTGCTGGAGCAGGAACACCTAGATCAGGTCACAAAGAAACGCCTCCAGGTGGGTTTTGAATGTCTCCAAAGAAGGAGACCACAACGCCCCTGGGCAGCCTGTTGCAGTGCTTTGTCACCTCACCGTGAAAAAAGTTTCGTCTTGTATTTAAGCGGAACCTCTATTGCACCGTCTGTCAAAAACGTGGCCATGTGTCACCCTGCCTCACTTTGTCAATAGTAACTGCAAGTAAATGTGTGGTGGTGGCGATCTCTGCAGGTGTGGCACTGAGGTGAAGGCTGGTTGTGAGCTCTGCCTCACGTTACGTGCCTTACCACAGCTGTCTTCTGAAGGTGCTCATAAAGCCCTTCATCCCCAAAGCATCTTGACTTTGCAGCCAACAGGGAAGAAAAGCTGAGTCCCTTTGGGTTTCTCAGTTGGTGAAAGACGAGTATGTGGCCAGGTGTTTCAAAAACAAAAAAGAAACCAAAAATCCCAACCCTTAAACCTCGGTGTTAACTGCTTGTGCAAGCGGCTAGCACTGTCAGAAATGTGGCATTTTCGAAGGAGGTTCGTTGCCTCAGGTTGTTCTTCCTGGAAAAACTCCCTAAATGGGTCTTATTCTCTCAAGCGTATGTGTTGTTGTTTTTTAATGTTTTCTTAGCCATACCAAGTACTACGTGAGACTGTGGCTGAGTAGTCTGTGTACCCAGTTAGTCAAACACGTTGATGCAGATCCTACAATTGCCTTAGGAAGCAGGGGTACCTGAGCTACCAGGGCCACAGCTGCCCCCCTCTGTGTTGGCCATGTTCATGCCCTGAAGGCGTTACCATCTCTGCCTTCAGTGGCTGTGCCATTCTGCAGTGTGCCTGTGTGCCGAGGCATCTTCCTAGAGCATTCAAGGTCATAACAGGGGCAGTGGGTGGTGGTGGGCTGTGGGGGCTATTGTGCAGCAGAAATGTGAACTGGCACTATGGGAAGGAGGAATTGCTGCCTCTGGTACCTGCTGGGCCAGCCGTGGTCTCACAGCTTGAGGTCTGTGCTGCTAAGTGATGGTCTTGTGAAAACACCTGCTGAGTCCTGAAATGGGGTGGAGGAGCCCCTGCGGAGCAGGTTTGCTCTCTCACCAGGAGTTACACGTGGGACAGAGCAAGGATGCGTCCACAGGGAGGGAGCAGCTCTGGTTTCTGTTTGTGCTTTGTCCCCAAGCTGTCCTGCCACTTCTCTCTCTAACTTCCTGCCCCCCTTGATCCCACGCTGTGGAATTTGGACCTTCCCCCCCATCAGGACTAAGGCACCCCAAATGTTTCTTTGTATGAGACTCCCCACAAAGGCTGGGCAGGGGTAACAAGGTGGCTCTGGAGCACTCCTGCCACCCTACTGTCCATGGAATTACAGCACCGTGCTGGGGACTGGCTGCACCTCTCAGCCCAGACCTACTGTTACCTCTTCCCGAGTGTCTGGCCCTCCCTCCCTGGGGTGACCCCAAGGACTCTGGGGAAGGTGATCAAGGAAGGAAGTAACCAGCATCTATACAAGGTGTCAGGAGGGGTCCTGCAGCCTGCTGGGAGAGAGGCTGGGGAGAATAAATTCACCTGGACAGGAAAAAAGAGGAGGCTGTAAGGACACCAAAGTTCTTCCCCATGGCTTTTTGTGCTGTGCAGACCCAGGGTCTTCACAGGCCCATGGTTCTGTTCACAGTGGCCTCAATTTATGTTTGCTGCATCCTTCCTCCCTGCTGCAGTATCCACAACCTGCCCTGTACCATGCTCTGCCCTGTGCCATGTCCTGCCCTTGGTTCTACTCTCAGCCTCTCCCCAGCAGCCTGCTCTCCTCAGATTGCTATTTGACAGAGGAAGTCTTTACCCTTCCCTGTTTCCTCGCAGCTTTGTTTTTTCCAGCTCACGTGGCAGGAGAGGTGGCTTGCGGCCCTTTGTGTAAAGGGATCAGTATTGTTTCCTTGGCCTCACGGGAAGAGGCTGCCCTCGGTCTGGCAGTGACCCTGTGGAAAGGAAGGCCTGTGAGCTGCGCCACCTCTGCATCCCGTGAGGGTTGTACAGTTGTTACTGCTTGTTCTCCTTCGTTAGTGCTTGGGTCAAAGCAGGGCATCGTCTCTGCTCAGGTCTTTGGTGCTTGGCTGGAGGTGCCCACCTCCCGATGTGCCATCACAGCAGCACTGCTGGACAGGGAGGAGCGACCGGGGTACGATCCTAGTGCCAGAGTGGACTGTGGCCTTTGAGCAGGTCTCATGGTCATGCTGCAGGAGATGTTAGGAAGGCCAACGACAGCGTGGGCAGCCCTGGGGCAGGAGATGCTGAAGAAACCTGTGCAGGGGCTGCTGTGCTGCCAGTGGGGCAGGGAGCCAGGGGAGCATGAGCGGGCTGTTTGTGAGAGCAGCGTCAGCCTGGCCTTGCTCGGGCTTCCTGCCCAGGTGCTCTGTGCTCACCCTCCTGCTCCAGGGTTGTCTGGAAACGTGGCTGAAGGGGAGGGACCTGCGTGGGCACAGCGGGTGCTGTGAGTACACCAGTCCCTTCCAGCAGGCAGCTGCACAGCAGAGCTCTGCTCCTCACCACTGCACCCAGTGCTCTCACGGCACTACCTGGAGAGTGAGGGGCTGCGCCTGCTGCTGCTTGCTCGCTGAGCTGTACGTACCAAGAAGTACCAGGTGAGGGATGCTCTAGGATCGTGGTGGAGACACACAACCTTCAGGCTGTGCCCCACAGTGGCCAGATATGGCTAACTTGGCACTGGGAACCATCCTGGCTGTTCTGGCCTCGCTCATCATCACTGCCAACGTACTGGTGGCCATCGTCCTTCTTCGCCTTATCCAGAAGAGCGGCTACAAGGGACACTATTTTGTCCTTAATCTCGCTGTCGCAGATGCCATGGTTGGCTTCACGGTTATGGGTCTGGTCATGGATGAGTTTTCTGAGCCCTTTTATCCACCTCAGATCTTCTGTGTCCTGCGAATGGCTTTTGTGACTTCCTCTTCTGCTGCTTCTATCCTGTCCTTGATTCTGGTTGCGTGTGACAGGCACTTGGCAATCAGAAAGCCTTTCCACTATCTCCAGTTGGTCACGGGCTTGAGGGTTGGGTTGCGCCTGGTGGGGCTCTGGCTGCTTGCCGCTATCATTGGCTTCCTCCCAGTGTTTGTCCCAATCTTTCAGAAGATCTCTGACCAGGAAAAGTGTTCCTTCTTTGGAGTCTTCCAACCCACCTACATGCTCAGTGTCTCCTGCATCGGCTTCTTTCCAGCACTGTTTCTCTTCATTTACCTCTACTGTGACATGTTGAAAATTGCCTCTGTGCATGTGCAGCATATCCGTGAAGTAGAACACGCGGGGCTGGCAGGGAGCTGCCCCCCACCCCACACCACTAGTGACATGAAGGCCTTGCGCACCGTGGCTATCCTCATCGGGTGCTTCGCGCTGTCCTGGTTGCCATTCTTCATCGCCAGCATCGTGCAAACTGTGTGTACCAACTGCTTAACCTACAAAGTCATCGAGAGCTACCTCTGGCTTCTGGGACTGTGTAACTCCCTCCTGAACCCCCTGCTCTACTCCTGCTGGCAGAAGGATGTGCGGCTGCAGTTCTCCCAGCTAGCTGCCGGTGTAAAAGGAGAGTCCTCCTTCACTTGGGCAATCGCCACCGTTTCCCCGGCAGAGGCACCAAATCCCTTCCTACCGTGTCCTGCTTGCGGCTCCAGGACTGACGTGGTAAGGAGTAGCAATCACTGGCTTTCTGGGTTATCTCCTCTGCCACAACCATGAACTCAGGGTCCGCCAGCTGTGGAGGAGATCATGGACAGGGTGGGACAGGACTGGATGCTAATTCCCAGACACCAGCGTGGCTAGCACGGCTGGTTTTGCAGCAGCTCCAGGGCAGCCCAAATTGCAGGTGCACAGCGTGTGTTAAATTTTGCTTGGAGAGCACTCAGCAAGAACAGCCTCGTGTCTGCTGGGACCAAGCCCTTGGCACCCACTCCACAGGCCAAGATCCTTCACCTTTTGCTGTCTAGGTTCCCCAGTCCATACCTGGGGTCCTTCTGCATTCCCCTCTGCCTGCAGAGTCAGCTGTCAGGGTCAGGTCCCCCGGCACCTGGGGCAGGGCTGCTCTCACTGTGTTGGCTTTGTCACCCTTGGCCAGATGCAGTAGAGATTGGGAGATGTGTGCACATCTGTCCAGGACCACATGTGCTCCCAATCACTGCCCTACTTAAAACAAACTCAAAATCCTACAGATGCAGTCAGGGCTGTCCCCCAAAACCTGTCCCCTGACTGCAATCAATCCTGCATCTGGAGAGGTGGCAGGCTCATCCCTCCCCCAGGCTGCACCTGCCCCAGGCAGAGGTGAGGGGTACGGATGGGCCTGGGGTCTCTGCTGTGGTGCAGGGGATGCAGTCAGGTCTCTGCTGTTCTTCAGCAGCAGCTGTACCTGCACCAGAGCAAGTGCTGAACAACCCCAGGCACTACATGCCTGGAGAAGTGCAGGGCAGCACAGGTTGTGCTGTCACTGTTTGGCTTGAGCTGTAAAGTGAGTTAATGAGTAACCACCTGAATGCTGAGCTTTAACAAAGGAGCAGGAAGAAGACCTTGGAGACAGGGGTAACCCTGTGCAGAAGGGCTACTTTGTCCCACCAAGGCTGTAGGATTGGTAATGGGACTGCAAAGGTCCCTCTCTACTGACGCACAAGGCAGGTGCACACAGCATTTGTGCGTGTTGTCTCACACTGTGGTGATGGCCAGACTGCTGGCCCTGCCAGAGGCAGGTAACATTTAATTGCTTTTTGTTAAATCACATCCATTTAATCCACATAGTAAAAATTTTTTCCTTAAAACTGGTTTCTTAGCTAAGAACTCACTCTTCATCTGAAGATGAGGATGCTATGCATAAAATAGCAGCTGCTTCTACCTCTGTCACTTGCTCTTCTAGTAGATATAAAGGCTCAAGGCCATATCCTGTATGCACGCAGAACCTGCCTTGGTTCTGAGGCCATCCCCATACCAGAGGAAGAGAAAAAAATAAAAGTGCTCTATTAAAAACAAACAAAAATCAGTGGGCACTCTGTGGCACTCCTCTCTCTGCCTGGGAAAGGCCTGAGACCAAACAGCATTAATCAGATCCTGTGCTAGGAGAAGAGCCTGAGATAAGGCTCATGTAGGATAGACCTGGCTCTGTGTGTGTGAACTGGTGCCTTGCAGGTGGATCTAGTGGGTGGATCCAGTCTGACTCAGTTCTGGGGATCAGTGCATCATCTGTCTGCATGATATGTTTGCTGTGTGAGCTCCAACAGCTGTTGCTTTGCAAAGCTGACCTGTCCTTGCTGAGCGTCTGACGATGCTGAAGCCATCCTCTGCCTCCCTCACGCGTGCTTCACATGTGAATACCCACTGTGAATGGAGATGCTTTGCAAGCGGGCCTCTTGCTGCTTTCCAAGCTTGCTGACTGCTGCATCCACTGCTGTTCTGCTGCCCACAGCGGGCCCAGCCACGGATAGGGTTTGTGCCTGGCACAGAAGATCTGGAACAGGCGGCTGTCACACTGGGTGCCCTGCAGCAGTACCCCTGGATGTGTGGACCTGCAGCCACAGGGAGCCCCTGTCTGCTGCTGGGGTTACAAGCTCTGACCACCTCCTCGGTGCCAGAAACACCACAGAGACCCAGGGTGGTGGCTGGATGGGGAGATAACGCCCTTCTGCTGATTGTGGGGCTGGAGAATGTAGTCACGCTGGAAACAGAGCATCTAGCAGAGGATCCCTCGCTGTGCCCTGGCGCTGACCTGCCTGTCCTCCCTCTCCTTGTGCCTGGGCTGGAGGTGGTGCCCTCAGGAGTCACCTCAGGACCTGACGGGGCCGTTTGTGGTGTGAGACCGTGCCTGCCTCCGCACAACCATCCAGGTTGGAAGAGACCCCAAGACCGCATAGCCCAACCTCTACCCTAACACTACCACCTCCCGCACCGAACCACATGGCTATCCCGCGTCCCAGAGAGCGCCCGTCCCCAGCTCTGCCTCACGGTGACCGGGCACCGAGACCTGGGCGTGCGGGGAGGCTGAGGGGGCCCCGGCACCATGGGGAAGGGGGGCGAGGAGCGGCTCCCCTGCCCGCTGTCCCCCCGCCTGGATGAAGCCCGTGCCTGCGCTATAAATAAATAAACAAACAAATAAATAAATAAATAAGTTTATTAAGTTTATTAATTAATGACGAAGAGGAGGAGGAGGAGGAAGGGGGGGAGGTGCCTCCATCCCCGCCCCTCCCTGGCGCAGCCACCATGGGGCGGGGCCGGGCCGGGCCCCTCAGAGCCGCCCGCGGATTCCGCCTCTATCCCGGCGTGCCGTGCGCGGGCGGCCCCTCCCCGCCCCCTAGCGACGCGGCAGCCAATGGGAGGCCTGGGAGAGCCGCGCGGAGGGGCCGCGGCGCGGATGTTCGCTGAGGGCGGCCGCGGAGGGGCCGGGCGAGGGCCGGGGCCGGGAGCGGGGCCGGGAGCGGGGCCGGGACCGGGACCGGGACCGGGTTCGGGATCAGGGCAGGGATCGGGAACAGGATCGGGAACAGGATCGGGGCCGGGCGGTGAGTAAATGCGGTCAGGGCCGGGCCGGGAGCGCGGGGCCGTGTCCCTGGCGGCGGGCGGGCGGCCTGCGCTGCGTCCGGGCCCGAGTCGGGCCTCGGGAGGGCCCCGGAGGCAGCCGGGGGGGGCTGTGGGGGCTGTGGGGGGCTTTAGGCCCTGGTTCCGGCCGGTTCGGGCGCGGCTGCGGGGCGCAAACGCGTCCCCAGCGGCACGGAGCGCCCCGCCCCACGCAGCGCCAGGAGGCCGGCATGTACAGCTGGGTACATGTACACAGACGGCTGCACAGGTGTTGATTTGGTTCTTCACGGCATTATACTCCAGCGTTATGCTTCTGTGTTTCTTCCTGTCTTATTTTACTCCTATTTTGGTACATACCTCAAGGTCTGTCTATTAACAGCAGCGTACACTCAGATCACGCTGCACATAAATGCTTTTGTTCCTTTAATGCTGTGCTTCTTACACGAACACGTCAGTCCTTGGATAGATTGCTCGTTACTCCACATACTTTAGGTCATTTTTATCTCCCCTGTACTTGTGCAGCTGCAGGAGGTGAGCACCACGTTTTCCTGACCTGCAGAGCGTTGCTGCACAGCAGTGCGATGACAGGATAAAATGCGAAGGCGACCTTGAGGTAGCTGTTTGTCCAGTAAGCCTGAATTCCTTGCCTGCTACTCCAGCTTTTCATCACTTATCAGGGAGTATAATGATAAGATGAGCGTAATGACTTTAAACTAAAAGTTTAGATTAGGTATGAGGAGAAAAAAATACTGTGATGGTGATGAAGCCCTGGCACAGGTTGTCCAGAGAAGTTGTGGGTGCCCCATCTCTAGCAGTGCCCAAGGCCAGGCTGCATGGGGACTGGAGCAACCTGGGCTGGGGGCAGGGGGTTGGAACTGGGTGATCTTTAAGGTCCCTTCCATCCCAAGCCGTTCAGTGATTCTATCTCCTGCCGTCTCTGGAAGCTGAGGAGTTGTTTCCTCTGTTTCTTGTTATTACATTTGGGGCACTCCGTGACATCTAACTGCAAAGCTCTCTGTGTTAAGTTGTTGAAAGCTCTGTCTGAGCCACTGTAAGGTCAGGTTTCTTAGCTTAAGGTCATGTTTTTGGTATCAGTGACTTCAGCTCGTAGAAGGGGTGAAGTTCAATCTCCAAGTAATTTCAAAGATAAGGTGTTGCTAGAGAGGCATTCTAGAATACCTTCCAAAGATGGTGTGAGATTTCTCACCTAATCCCCAACTTTTCTGCTGACATTCTTCCAGTGCCAACGTGTTCATCCCAAAGCAGCATTCTCCTACAACACCCAGCTGCTCTGCTCTCAGCTGAGACTGCAGTTCTGGTCCTTGTGCTGGTGCTGTAGCTGTCCCGTGGCCTCTGGTCTGCTTCTGTCTCTGCAGATTCCTTTGTTTGGGGAGCAGCAGCCATCCCTATAGGCCAGGTTTGTGCAGGATTTGTGATGATCCTGGCTGCTGGCTCTGCTGGAAGCTGAGTGGCTGTTCTTCTGCAGAAGGGAAAACTCCTGGGGAGATGTTACAGCAGCCTTCCAGTACCTAACGGGGGTCTACAAGAAAGCTGCAGAGGCACTCTATCAAGGATTGTGGCAGCAGGACAAGAGATTATGGCTTTAAACTAAAAGAGGACAGGTGTAGGTTAGGTATAAGGAAGACATTCTATGCTGTGAGTGTGGTGAGGCACTGGGACAGGTTGCTCAGAGAAGCTGTGGATGCCCCATCCCTGGAGGTGCTCAGGGGCAGGCTGGATGGGGCTTTGGCAGCCTGGGTTGGTGGGAGGTGTCCCTGCATCCCCCTGCAGGGGGTTGGAGCTGGCTGGTCTGTAAGGTCCCTTCCAACCCAAACTATTCTGAGTGTGAATTTTCCAGGGGAATTCACTCTCCTTCTCCACCCCAGTAGGTCTGTGTCAGAGGGTCAGTTATTCCTGCATCCCTTCACTTGTAGAAACACATTTCATCTGCTTGTGTGTATAATTCTGCAGAGGTGATAGAAATGTAAAACTGCTCTTGACAGGGATGAGTCTCTGAGCCTTTCACAGTGGCATTTTAGATCGTGAAAGTGTGAGTTTGTGCGTTTGTGCAAAGGTGCATGTATTAATTTCCCGAAATACTGGGAGTGAGGTTGGCAGGGTGGCTTCTGGAGAGCTTTGTATCCCAGCTGGACGATGAGCTGTCTGGGATTAGGTGTGTTCCTCTCCAGTGGGCTGCAGCTACATGCTGCACCAGAGTATGTCTGCACACTGCCTGGAAGCACAGGTGTCAACATGAAACAACTTCTGGATGCTGTGTCACGGGAAAGGTGGTTTGGCAGAGATGATGTGGGCATCCTAAAAATACTCCTTGCTGTGAAATATTTGGAAATTTGTCACAGTGGTGAGGCCATGTAGGCTTTGTGAGGACTGTTGAGGGCTTGCCACAGGGATGCAAAGAGCAGGCGATGGTGGATGTACACGGGTAGGTACGTCGTGTTTCCCTTTGTGTCTTCTCTGTTTATAGCAGGAAACAGAAAGCACGTCACACACAACTTGATCAAGCCTCCATGCTTTTGCTGCTGTGTTGGCAGTGGTTTGTGAATACGTGCCACTTGAAAACACTGCAGGTGGACCTTTAGTGTTATGAATGTTGTGTCTTTGGAGGCAAAGAAGAGAGTAAGTCCTTACATCTCCTTTTTTACAGTGCCCTGCTAGAATAAGCTTGCCTGAAGTTCTTTCTTTTCCACTACAAGCTTCTAGAATCCAGAAGTGGGCTGTGTGCCTTTTATCTTCAAGGATTACCAGGACTTAATCTTTTGTGCAAAGGCAACTAACTTCAGGCATGCCGATGGGGTTCGTTTAGCTGCGTGCCAGTGCTTAGAGCATTGATGTATGAAATCCCTCACGGATTCAGATTTATTACTGCTAATCAGTTCTCCAGCTGCTCTTTCACCTCCTTGCCCCACGCCCAAGAATCAGCCCATTGGTGTCAGTCACTGGAGACTGATGGTGACACATGCGGCTGCAGTTTGTAAACTGTCCTAACCTGGGCTCTTGATGCCTGGGCTGTCGTTGCCTGCTGGTGGGGAAGCGCAGCGCTGGTTTTACTGACCCACCTTCCTTCTGTGCGCAGTGGCGTTTGTGGGGCTGTACTAAGACAGGAGCCTTGTGTGGGAGCTGAACCATCCACCTTTCAAACAAACAGATAAGCAAACTGGAAGGGGCAGGAGAACTGGCTGAAACACTGAAGTATTATCAGTATCTTGCCATGTTCCTCGTGCAGTATGCAGGTACCGTGTGCGTTTCAGTGGCGTTCTCTTGAGTGTGCATTTCTCTGAGGCTGTCTGGATGAGAGTCGTTAGAATAAAGGATTATGTGGAATTGACAGGAGTAACTATCAAAAGCATGTTGGTCTCTTCAGTGTGCTTAGGCAGCTTCTCTATCAAAGTGTGTGTCTGCTAAACTAATTGTTATAAAGCTCCAGCTGTTCACACAGGAAGTACAGCAGAAAATTGTGCACAAGCCCAACAGTAGATTTTAAACCTGGGAACTATTGCAGAAAGCAAATGTTTGGTGTTGAAATGTGACTTCAAAGCCTCGGTATCTTGATTCTCTCCTTTCCTTTTCTTGTTGTTTTCTTTTCTCTGTGTTTTCTAATTGGTTACTGTCGGTGTTCCGTACTTTTTCTTCCCAAATTTATTTCTTTAGACGTGAAAACAAGTAGTATGTAAGCAGACGGGAGTTTGTATTCCGCAATTCTGTTTGTTTCTGGGTAAGAAAAGGGACCGCTGCCCAGGTTGAGAAATAAGTACTTCCAACATTTGCCAATGTTGGCAAAAGGTAGGTCCGTATTTATAGCAAAGCCTGCGTCAGCCCATTTCTGTTCTTCCTTCTTTATGCTGAGGCAAGTGGGAAGCTTGGTGAATGGTATAAACCATGTGGACTTTCTAAGTGTGTGATTAAAATGCTTTTAGGTATATGAAGGTGTCAGGGTACTCATTACTACTTTTTTTTTGAGTTACAGGGGATGAATTTACGCACTTGCTTTTCGTTAACTAGTTGGATGGCGAGACGTTGGAACGCCTAAACGGTGGTAGCATGAGGTTGCTGCTAGGGCGTGCGCCCTGGGTGAACTGCTCTGCCTCTAAAGCAGTGCTAGGCTTGTGCACAGAGCTTGTGCTGTCATTTAATCAAATGTTAATGAATCCAGCAGGTAAGATTTTTGCAAAAATGTTGAAGTGGAAGCCCCGTTGAGGTACTGTTTTAAGGAATACAGTTTTAAAGCACACCCAGCTGTGCACAGTCGCGTTTTGGGTAGAATTGTTGCTGGCATTTCCAGCTGTCAGTAATAAGAATGATCTGTAAAACAATGCTTTTCAGTTCAAATGAAGTTGGTTCTCTCTTTTTTTGCTGGTCATTAAGACCAATGGCCAAGTTCTGTTAGCAGGAACGACTGGTTGGAAAATGAAATCTTGTCGAGGGGCTGGCATGAGACCCAGTGAGGATAGATCATTACGTTCATTTATGCCTGGAACATCATGATCTTCCCTATCTCTATTCAGGCTCCTTCTAAACGTGTGCT